CAATCAGAATCAAGGACCGGAACTATCCCTTTTATAATTTGCCTTTAGTGATCCAGCTGGTTCTGCTGGACTAGTTAGTGGGGTTAGTGGGTAGTTACCTAGGCACTCTGAGTCCCCTCTCTCGGCTGCAGGCGCAGGCGGCCCACAGCGGCGCAGCAGAATGAGGGCTAAGGGTGGGGAGGCAGGGAGCGAGCGGGGGTTTGATGTAGACGGGTGCATGCGAGAGAGACGGCTCGGAGGGCAGAGAGCCCTGCTTGGACAGGTGCAGGACACTGGGTTTGGGGTTGGAGTTGATGTCTAGAGAGGTGGAGGACAGGAGGAGCGCAGGCGGAGAGCTGTACACGGACCAGCGGCTGAACGCCGAGGGAGGAACGCATTCGGGACGCACTCGAGGGTGAGGGATAGAGAACGAGGAGGAGGAGGAGGAGGAGGAAGAGGAGGAGACAGGGAACGGGTACGGAGGGGGCGGTCTCTCCTCCTCAGGGGAGGGGCAGACGAGACAGGAGTCCGAGCGATTGGATGACGCCTCGTCGGAGCTGAAAAGATTTGCAAGATTGGCACATCTGAGATCAGTACATCCAGCTCCATCAACAGCACTCCTGTCATTACCATGGCAACATTATGTTAATGAGCACAATTTTATTTCCTGTGCTGACGTACTTCGTACAGTCATAATATTAGTACATTAATATTTATTTAAAAATAATTAAATATTTACTGATATGATTTACTGATAATTCTAATCAAATCAATAAATTAATAATTTATATTAATGAATATTATAATTAGTCATTTTTGAATGTTCATTGATACTAATTCAATCATTAATTTTTTAATATTTATGAATATGAATTAATTATAATAAAATTCAGTTATTGTATGCAATTATTAAATTGTTAAGTCAGTCAATTATTAAATATTTGTCAATTATTATTATGTACTACTACAATTAATAAATATTAATAAATTAATATTGATATTCATTAATTATAATTAAATCAATAAATTCATAATTAATATAATAATCAATAACTATAAATTAATTCTTATTAAATTAACACTTAATTATTTAATGTTAATAAATATCAATAAATGATTATTGTTATTTATGAATATTAATTCTGAATTAATTATAATTATCACTTACTCAACTCTCACGATTTAATCGAAAATTATTAAATAATTGTCAATAATTATTTAATACATAATATTAATTAATATCATAATGAATAAATATAAACATAATTAATAATTAATTGTATGAATATTTACTAATATAAATGAATGAATTATAATTACATTTAAGATTATTTGATTCATATTAATACTTGATGTTATTAATATTTATTAAAATATGTATAATTATAATATTCATACATATTAATAATTCATTTTAGCAGAAGGTAACGCATACAATAGCTTTGCATATACAGTATATCTGTGTATTTTGAACTTCCACTGTTAAATGTGTTATTGATCTACTGTATAATTTTCCACAAATGTGATGGACAGAGCGTTTGTTTTGAAAGCTTTGAAAACAATGCTAATTACAAGAGTGACTCTGAACATACAGGAGGAGCGTGAGGTTGTGTGTCACGCATACAAGTGGGTTTGAGATATCAAGGATATTAAAATACTGCAAAATAAAAAGGATTCACACAGTCAACAAAACAGAGAGAAAATAAATAAAGGAATAGTTCATGCAGAAATGCAAAATCTGTCATCATGTACTACAGCAGAGAGAAAGATAATCAGTGAATAATGCTTTAGAATAACATGATTATAATTGAAATTAAGGAGGAGAATAACTCCAGTTTCAATTCAGCCAACTAATATTATAAAAATGTCATATTTATTTGCTTTAATTTCTGCTTTCAATCACAAATTGTATTTATAACGAACTGCTTTGGATGATATTCAAATACTGTATAATATGACATTAATATTCATGATGTCCTCCGCTGGCTGAATTGAAACGAGCAGCAGTCATGTGACGAGCTCAGCTCGTGTGCGTTGGATTCCTATTGGTCGCCTCTGTTTACCTGGTCCTATCGGCGCTGATGGGGGGCGGAGTCTGTGAGGGGGAGGCGGAGACATCGGCCGGCTGCTCGGGGTTCAGCGAATCAGAGGGTGGCTGAAGGCTGGGCGGAGTCGAGGAGCTCTTACAAGACGAGGAGGAGGAGCCCCGGCGAGAAACCCAGGAGGTGTCCATCACTCGCACTCCCATACTGCAACGGGGCAGAGGCACAGCCAATCACATCCCTCGCACTTCATCAACAACACCCCAGCTGCAGCATTTGGGCCGGTAAGATTTTTAAAAAATCAATTAATATTTTTATCAAGCAAGGACGCATTAAATTGCTCAAAAGTGACAGTAAAGACATTTATAATGTTCTAAAAGATTTCTATTTCTAGTTCTTTTGAACTTTCTATTCATCTGTGAATCCTGAAAAATAAAATGCATCACAGTTTCCAACTGTTTTCAACATTGATAATAATCAGAAATGTTTCTCGAGCAGCAAATCAGCATATTAGAATGATTTCTGAAGATCATGTGACACTGAAGACTGCTGAAAATACAGCTTTGATCACAGAAATAAATTACAGTTTAATTTATATTCGCATTGCAAACAGCTGTTTTAAATTGTAAAAATATTTTAGAATTTTTACAGTAGTTTTGATCAAATAAAAGCAGCCTTGATGAGAATAACAGACTTCTTTCAAAAAACATTACAAATCTTAAATAGCGTACTTTGAGTGATGTACTAAAACAACTCTAAAATGAATTAATTTGAATTAAATGAATTAAAATGCAACGGCATCGACGCCAGCATTGAGAATCAGCAAGCTTGCGGGAAATCAGGACAGAACAGGACGAGACAGAAGCTTCACCGTACCTCTGAATTTTCCTAATGCTGCATTAGTGGAAGAACTTTGAGTGATGTACTAAAACAACTCTAAAATGAATTAATTTGCCATCTGCACTGAATTCATGTCACTTCAGAAATGCAACGGCATCGACGCCAGCATTGAGAATCAGCAGGCTTGCGGGAAATCAGGACAGAACAGGACGAGACAGAAGCTTCACCGTACCTCTGAATTTTCCTAATGCTGCATTAGTGGAAGAAAAGCAGAAGCGTCAGTGATTCAAACCCAAAGTGAGGAGAGGAGCGCATGCATGTGAGCATATAAAGCGAACGCACCCGTCTTTCTTGTAGAACTCCAGCATCATGTTGTCGGTGGCGACGCTGAGTGGGCGTCGGCTTTGGTCCGGCTGCCTGCGATCTGATTGGTCCAAGTCCGGCGACGGCATGGAGCTGTAGTTGGCGTTGTGATTGGTGTGAACGGGGCTGCCGTAGTTTCCCGTCACGTTAAAATCGATCTCTGCGCACACAAAATAGATCGGATTTGTCACTGTATCGCAAAAGCAGTAGCTGTCAGAGAAACTGTAATCCGTTACTGGTTCCAAACTACATGAGAAAAACTGTAGTTAGTAACGTAATCCATTACATGACACATTTTAGGTAATGTAATCAGATTACTTTTGGATTACTTTTGACTGAACTTGCTTATCACATTGATTTAAATAAAATAATCTTGTACCATATTGATATAAAAATGCAAAGAAGAAGAAAACATATTCAATTTGTTGTTATTATAACATCATGAAGTGCATTAAACATTTCATTACGTCAAGGTTTCCCAAACTGGGGTTTGTGAGTTTAATGAAAAGCTAATAATTCCTTAAATCATTAAAATAAATCACTTAAAAATAACAACAACCAAAATAAAAAAATCTTCAAGAACAATTACAAATCAGTTCATACTTCTAAAAAAATTTAATGTAGAGTAAAACCTAAATTCACACTTAGATACATATATAAATGAATAATTATATGCAAGTATATTAATTATAATAATTAAACATTATTAATAATTTATACTAACAATGTTACATATAAATTAAAAATATTAAATTATTTTAAAAATACAATTATATGATGTATATATAAACAAATGTATAAAAAAAGCAAAGGATGTTTAAGTGTTTCAACATGCTTTACGTCTCACAAATTAACGTGCCTTTTTCCAAGCAATACATCATTTTATTATTTTCTGTTTTCACTCTAATTTCAGTTAAATTTTTGTAATTTTGTTGTTTCTCTCATTTTTATTGTTTTTTTTTTTTAATGTCTAAATAGCAATTTATTAATTTTTATTGCCTTGGCAACTAGCTGAAATAAAAGTTTTTATTTCAAGATTTTTTTAAATATTTGATTTCAGATTATTTTGTTTTAAGTAACAAAATGTTTTTTTTTTATGGTTGTAATTTCAGTTAAGGATAATAAGCGCTCTGTGTTTCTGACCTCCAGGGAAGAACCAGTCAGCGTGCTGGATGAGCGGCTCAATGATGGCGACGATCTGCAGCGAGACGGTGGTCATCATCTCCGTCATGTTCCTGAGACACAGTGAGACATGCGTTCCGTCACTGATGACCGTAGCTGACGGTGTTTGAGTAAGTGTGTGTGTGTGTGTGTGTGTGTGTGTGTTAGTGAGTGTGTGTGTGTGTGTGTGTGAGAGAGAATGTGTGTGTGTGTGTGTGTGTGAGAGTGTGTGT